TTTCCGGCAAGTAGTCTGGCCTTCATCAGCTTTGTGTTTAACATTGGCTGATACAATTATCTGATACTGGATGTATGCGGCATTTTAAAACTTTTGGAGTACATGCAAATATATAAACAGATGATGAGGATGCTAATGATGAAGAATGGGGATGATGAGAATGTTGATGATGATGATGATGATGATGATGATGATGAAATCATCTTGCTTAGAAATAGCAATATATATGGGCGGCATGTAAAAAAAGACCAGGAAAATAAGAATAATGGCGGTCTACCGGAAAGGCTATGGCTTCCTGAACAACACATTGATACATTTCAATAGATGAAAGTATTCTTTGTTTTGCACCAACCTTCATTATTCATTGTATCTCCCAGATTCTATTCATTATGAGTATATAAGTCAATGATTGTATACAGTGTATGCTAAAAACATTGAAAAATATATTTGACACAACTCAGCTCATATTGCAGCTGATAGCGCGTGGTGACTGTTATTATGTTTACCGTAAATCATAATTTTTCATAGCTTTAACAATTTCCTCTAGTTTACACATCAATAGGTCAGACCAGCAACGTTCACCACTTTACTTTTTTTTTATTTAATTTTAGATAATTTAGAATAAATACCATTCATTGCGACGGAATGTGTTAAGGAAAATGTACACCTTCAGCTTCATGTGGTGGCGCCTTGATTTGTGTTTGTCCGACAAGGGGGTCTGATAATTTCCGAGTGAGACCAGTAAAGCTCGGGGTCAAGCCCTGGGGGTAAAAGCCCAGAAGGGAGCCCCTGATGCCTTACAACTTCCCATGTGCTCTGGGACGAATGCATTAAAGGCATATGCCCTAAATTTAGGCCTATACATTTATTCATTTGTTTTTTTTTCGTGGCCGCCATGAAATCAGGGAGGGTAGGGTGGGTCTTGGCCATTGCCTGTCACATAAACTAATGTAATTTTATGACCTGTCCTCTGTATTAGTTACCGTGTTAATTTTCATAGCCGGAAAGGAAACGAAATCTTATACTTTTATAAATTCCTGTATAACATTTGCTGCATATTTTAAATTACATAACACGTACCGGGCTCGTACGATGCACCTCTCCTGCAATAAGAACACACGTCGCTTCAAGTGCAGTCGTTGTACATAACTCGCTTTTTACGGATAATTTTATACAAACGTTTAAAAATCAAACATCTATATAAGGAACTTATAAAAGATAACGCTCCTAATATCGTAACATGTCGGCGCTCCATATATTAAGCATGGCACGCCATATTGCCGCTTTGCGTGCTGGTGGTTGCATTTGATTGTCGGCTCTTGTTAGTGCCATGATGCTAAGAGAGATGCTATGCTCAATTAATATAGCAAAGTGCATTTTCGTTTGACCTATTGCCAATGAGGTAAATTGTAAAACAGCGGTATAGATAGTTTATCTGAATTTGAGAATGCCTCTAGCAGGCATATATTCGTGATCTGAATAAATTATTTAAATAATGAATACAAATAAATTCATCAACTTGATGCAACATTGTGCAATTGTAATCATGATTCTCCATTTATAAAGCAAGCGTTATTATTAAATTATTTCTATTATCAAACTCGAAATATTTTATAAGGACAATTTAAACAAGATACGACAATGTAGATGCCTTTCATCCATCTGCCCGTCCGTCCATCCATCTATCCATTCGGTGAAAGTCAACATACAAAAAGAAACTTCATAAAATTGATACATACGGTAAAACAGACGTCGCAAAATTGCATACAATTTACAACAAATGTATATATATATATATTATTATGTTTTCTGAATTAATAAATAGTTAGGCCTATTATTTGTTGGGATATTTTTTGTGGCCATAACATCTTATCCGACTCCCTGCTTCGATGCACATAAATGTTAAGTCTTTACCGAATGCATGAACACTCGATCATATCATGAGCTGGCCAAATCGTAAGGAGGTAATGCTGTATTGGATAAGCGCTGTGCGGCAGTAGGACTGTTTTGCTGACGAATTATATAGCGCACAGCTGGTTTACAGATTGCACCAGCTGCCATATTGGTATGCTGTGAAATTTGCGACTTAAGACTCATTAAAAGCACCAATAAATTGAAATAGTGTACGTAATAAATATGCCAAATTATGGTTTTGCGTTGTAACGCAACGCGCATGCGTCTAGCGTGTATCCAGGTATCTCTTTTTTTCCTTATATTAAATCACGAAAACAAATAATTATTAATGAGGATTACTCTATTAAATAGTTAATTATAGACAAATTAAACCAAAATTTTGAGAAACAAACTTTGTGTTCCATTAATGATATCAGTTGCGTTACGGTATGTCGTAATTTTGTGACGTAAATTAACACAGACGTTTAGAGATATAGGCCTGCAGTCCGCAAAATATCAAACCATTCCAAACCAAACCATCGCAGTGGTGCAGGCGTGTGGACGTGGAAGCATGATTAGTAAATTCATTACAATGCCAGCATAATTATAACTAAAGCCATAAAAATAACAATAAATTAAATATCATTGCATAAATTTTATTATCTTGTCAATATTTATTTTTAATTGATTGCAATAATGTTTAATTCGTAATACGGTACCCGCATGCCGTGGATTTTACAAACCAGTACACACTGATTGATGAGGTACGGTACCCCAACCCACGTACGTGGATGTCTATAGCCTATCAGTACACATTGATTGGCCGACGATGTACACCAACCCAAAGGCAATGCTAATTTTGATTAATTATTGATATTAGTAAAAATGAGGGTCGAATGTGAACCTAATCCTGAAAATAAAATCAACATGTCTACGTCTTCTTTGGTATGCTTTCCTTACCTCCGAGTCATGGCCGGACCAACGCGGTTACACTCTTACGTTTGTATCATAGCAACACGTGTAGCACTAAGGCCCGCCCCCTGAATATTGTTGCTAAGGCCACAAGACGGCAGCGTTAAAACACGCTAACACGTACGTTTGTGGTGTGTTTGTGAGACCCTCGCGTATTCCTAGCGCTGTTATGATTGGTCAGTTGTTAAGTTTGATTGACACTCCGGAAACGTCAATTGTCCACATCGCAAGATAGAAATTTTACTTCTGCTGATCAGTACCGTATTCCTGAAAATTTATTTTTAAGAAATAATTGCCCCATGTAGGATCAATAAGGTTTGGATTGAATTGAATAGTTGAAAACTTATCGATAGATAATTAACGGTTACAATATAAAAATCGCCCCTCCTGATCTTGTAATAAATTAAGTATAAAAATATGAATGAATAAATGAATGAATGAAAGTACGAATTTATAAATGAGTAGACAGATGAATGAAAGACAAACACACGAACTCATAGATGAATGGATGTATGAAGTTATGGGTGGATAGATGATGAATCTATGAGCAAATGAATTAAAGAGAAAGAATGAAGGAAAAAAATGAAAAAAAAAGCTACAGATTCTAAGTTAATCAATCAATTGCGATATGTTGCCGTTACCCCGACAAAGCCGTACTGGTTCGTGGCCTTCCGAGTTAAACCCGAATTTGTCCGAGGATGGATGCATAAGCCTGTAATTTCCATTACATTTTGGCAAGAAGGAAATGGTAAGGCCGTTGGGATCTTCTTTAGAGTACGAATCGTCACTGATGTCTGGGAAAGAGTCCCAAAAGGGCGTACTTCGGGTTAGCCAAACTTTGCATCCATTGTCTTTTTAATAAGAAAAGCGGTAAACTTTTACTTACTGTAATTTAAATAATGTTCATGTGTAATTTGTACGGTAAATGATCAACCAAGTTATCAACTTCCAAATGAGACACAATTAAAAAAATATTATGTAATTTTTGGTTCAAGGTTAAGTTTTATTTCAAAATATCATAGCTTTGCAAGTTTACAGGCGACACTAGACTACTGCAAGTCAATTTAAGGGTTTTTATTTTGATATATTGAAGTTAAAAATGATTCGTATTCGTATCGTTTTTTTTTGTCTATAGAATAAACAATATGTGAATTATTAGTTATCAAATATGTTTGTTTACTGGCAAGAAAATTATTTCCAATTCAAAGCTAATAATTTTTAAGGATAAATAATAATAGTAATATTTAAGGTCGAGGCCATGAAACGGTCCTTAATGATAATTATTGTGACTTTATTTTATAGATTTTCATTTTAAATTCACAAATATTTTACAAGTATTCAGCTGCTTTCAAATTAAACAAGGCATTTCAATCAAACATGCACCCGGGATAATCGAACACCCTTCAGCAATGCGTTGTTTATGACAGAATGAAAATCATCACTCTTGCCTCCTATCGTCACGAGTAAATATAATGTGATCGAATTCTTCGCCTCCGAGGAAACCCTTTGTTATTTTCAGTACCTGGTTTGTTTTCATTAAAAAAAACAAAAAAAAAACAACAAAACAAAACACCCCCAAATTCATGAAGTCTTCATAGTCTGATTAAATGGAGAAGAATCCTGCTATTAATGTTCAATTACTATTAGTGTGTTTACTGTCTGCTGTTTCAAGCAAGCCTCCTACGCGCGACAGTGTTCGTCGGACCATCCAGGCAAACTTGTTAACCCAAAATCATGTACTGAGCGTCTAAGTTGGCGTGTGCATGCCCTCAATAAACGCTTTCGTTCCCGAGTAGCGATTCCCTGAGGTCATCGCGTCTTTAATACGTTACATCGTTATAATTAGATTATGGCTGACTTTGGAGTATTCAATTTCTTCCCCCTATTTGCGAATAGAATCGACCTTGTCTGTAGAGTGCAGTGAATGTACTAAAAGTGTAAGCTGACTCAACAACGATTGTTACTTTGCTCTCAAGTCCAAGGAAATAAGACCGACTCGCCTGATTGAAGAGTTCATTTAGAGAATAATTATGATATAGTTACTCACAACATTTGATATGACGAATTGAACTTCTACCAGGATTTCATTTGCTGCAATTCGAGACTTTACGATATATTTTTTTTTTACTTGTGGAAATATTCAAGGAGAATAATGCCTCAAAAAGACAGTCGCAGATCAAAGCACTATTATTATTACGATGACGATTCAAAAGGTAGGAAAACAGATTTTCATTTCAGGCAAGAGTCAATTGGGGTCCGACATAATATTTAGAAAACGTCCGCTAAATTCCTAGCATTTCCCCTTCATAGTCCCATTAAAACATATTGTCGAGGCCTACACTTGATGTTTGAATAAAGGGTTAGAAACTTGGAATGGTTGTTTTGTGACTAATTCACTTGTGCACAAAACATGTGCGTACGCGTAACGCGTTCATTTCACAGAGAAGTTGATAAAGCTCGTATTGATGACGTTCTAGTTCGGTAGACTTTAAGCGGAGGAATATCGATTTTAACTGATTTCTTAAGCCAGTCTATTCTCTTTGTCTTTGTGACGTGCTTATTTGAAAGCGTGGCAATATAACATTGTGAGAGGCAATGATGAAGTGAAATAAACCTGTTAATACATTCGGAATAATAAAGCAGGTCAACCGCCAAAAACAGAAACTTACTTTAGCAGATTGTGCTTCTGCGAGATTTCTTCCTGTTATTTACACCATGGAGGAATAATGTTTACACTATATAAATATTTGACACATCAAATTTATAACCAATGATGTTTATTTTCATTTATATTTTCCGGCACACACTAATTTGACAGGATGGAATTGATAGTACAGGATGTTAAACAAAAGAAATGATGAGTGTGATTCAAAGAATCCCCGATTTTAAAGACGAACATAACTTAAATAATGTTGAATTGAATTTTAAGATTAAAGAAGTCATAAAATATCATGCCGTCATAATCTTGCATTTAAGTAGGATGAGAATCGAAGACGAATTACGGAGTAGGGAGAGTGAATAATAATGTAAACGAAAACAATAAAAACATGCTCCACTTTGTTCACGTAGATTAAGCCGAATCTTATTAAAAGTGTAGGAGTAACAGGAGGGTAGAAATACTGTAAGGTCGAATCATAATAGGTCCATAGTCGAATGATAGGAAAGGTCCACCACCGCGGTTTAAGAGGTGCAGCGGCAGTTATGAGCAGGCTTGCCGTACCCCACCTTGGATGGTGAAATTTCAAGGCTCGGGTTTGTGAGTCCTAAAAGTCGTGCCCTATGTTTAGATACACCTGGGTAGCAGTCATATTACTAGTATGACTGCTCCCTGGATATACCTTGAGGACAATTCAATCCGATACAGTATCTGACCTTCATCTCTCTTTACAGGTTGTTCGAGTATTCGGTTTTCACGATGTCTTCGTCGTGTTCCGTTCGTATCTGTTTTTGCCTTCCTACTGTACGTTGCAGGACTTGTAATATTTGTCAAGAGTTTACTCGACGTTCTTGAAGACTTTGATGTCATGTTCAATGAGACAATAGCTAGTGATGACGTTCAGACAGCGTAAGTTTTACTAATTAAATAGAATCACCAATTATATTCTCGTTTTTCTATATTTCAGCAAGATGGAAATAAGTAAGTGTACACGGCTGCTATCAAAAAGGGGATTAAAATCTACCAAAAGAATGTTATGATAACTGAAAAGTAAATACCGATTTATTTCAAAATTCAACCTCGATTAAAGAAGATCATATTGATGCTAGTATTGTATCCTTCAAATTAGCCTTATTTAACAACAGCGTTATGCCTAGCATAAGCCTACTTGAATGACTGGTTTAGCGCGAGCCTTATTTACGCATTCATTGCAAGTACAGGCATAGCGTTCGGGAGCGAGGTACTTAAAAATGTTTTGCATGGTTTTCATGAGACAAGGTCAGTCATTTTTTACATACTTCCTTGAACATCAAAGTAATGGAAATTACACATGTTTCACTATTGATACAACATTGAGAACATACAGAAAATATTGTTGTTTTTGTTTTATGAGTTAAGTTTTGTTCCAAGTCACGAAAGAAAATTATTAAGCCAAACAGTTTTTATGACGTCATGAGAAAGGTTTGACGTTCTTTTGTTGACTCTTATTTTGCGTTCTGTCTGAATGTTTGTGTTATATTATTGTGTTAATTATATATAGTAATACGTATTTCTTTATAATCTTTGAAAAAAACACAAATTTTAAAAATAAATATTGGAATTTCACGAATGAATCACATAGGCTACTGAAATTTCTGGAGAACTATTTCCAATAACAATCACAATGTTTAATATCAACAGAACGTAAAACAGAATCGTTTCTAGGCCATTTCAATAGCAAGATGGCTGTCCAAACATACACGCCAAACAAACTAAACAAACATTAGAATGCTTGTGATTATGCTCCGGTGCCTATTAGTTGCGGGTTCTCTGAGACAAAACCAAAGAAAAGTTGTCATTAAAAAAGAAAGCAACAATCTAAAGCCCTGTCCAGACTATCAAAAGCATGTGACATGCCTAATTATGGTCTTGATGACATCACATCATGACCATATATATGCACATCATGACCATATATAGGCACACCATGACCATATATAGGCACATCATGACTATATATGGGCACACCATGACCATATATATATAGGCACATCATGACTATGGGCACATCATGACTATATATAGGCACATCATGACTATAAATGGGCACATCATGTCTATATATAGGCACATCATGACTATATATGGGCACATCATGACTATATATAGGCACATCATGACTATATATGGGCACATCATGACTAATTACATGGGCATATAACAATGATAGTGTGGAAAGAGCTTAAGAGAGTATTTCAGCTTGACCCTTTGCTCAAAACAATAACAAAGATGTAGAAAATGTTAAACTTAGATGAATTATTATCAATAACAATAATAATAACAATAAAGATAGTAATTATGATAATAATAGTAAAGAAATTATGATAATAATAATAATAATACAAATAATAATAAAAAATAATTATAATGCAAATATTCTATAAGTTACGCATACACAATGATCAATCCGTGCATAAACAACATATTTTCAACAAAGTCCTAAATGTGATAAATCAAGGGGCAGTGGGGACACGTGATTACAAAACCTGTATCACTTCCCGTGCACAGTTCCGATGAAGTCATGACGTAGACAGAACAGAGAATCATGTAAACATGAAAGTTGCTGTAACTGACCTCAATTTCTATAACTCGGTGTAGTATGTTAATAATATAGTATAATCGGCGTCTGTTTATAATTTAAACATTATCTCGCTATGTTTATACTATTCCTGTAATCGTCTTTGAATAATTAACTCATAAATAATATTTAAGTAAGCCGATATCGGCGTCTATTTATAATTGAAACTTATCTCGCTATGTTTTATATCAAACTTGTAATCGTCTTTGAATAATTAACTCCTAAACAATATTTAAGTAAGCCTGAAATACATTGTTAAGACATTGGTAACTAAATCGATTATACGTCATTTTCAAAGGTACATGTACAGTGGGTCTAACAATTCGTTAAATTAGAATGTGTGGTTTTGATTAACTGAACAAGAAGCAATGGCTGCCGAAATTCCTCATTACTTTTAAACAAAGATTGACCTGAGGTCACGTATTAAGATCTTCTACCTACAAATGTCGTTGAACTTCTTTTAATATTTTGTTTTTCATCATTTTTTCTGATCTGCGCACAAAAGATGCGCAGTATTGCATCATCAACAGGATACACGGCCCCACGAATAAGGAAACTAATTAATTATTAGCTCGAAATGTGTCGTAATTTTAGAAATTCTCAAATATGTTTACAATTGATTGCATTTTATTTTTTTAAAAATAGGCTATTATTGTGTTTTGTATATCCAAACAAATATAATTATGATCTTTTGTCTTCTAAATCTCGACTACGAATATAATAAGTAATCGTTTTGCATCGTTTTGTGCCCCTGAACGAACATAAGTATAAATCATTATCAGTGTTACCATGGTCTGTGAAATAAGGTATATAAAATAATATTTTGGAAGGTGGAGCATATGGGTGAACGTTTGTGTAGGAATAGCGATATTACGACCCTGGGAAATGTTTGTTCGATTATATTAAAGTCATTACCTAAGGAAAAATACCAAGATTGACAGTGACATGTTTTTAAGGAATATTCGTTCTGTTTTAAATCTTTCACAGCGTAACTGACAATTTTTGGCACATTGTTGGAACATGGAACAGCCAACGAGAGCAAAACACTTCTCTACGTTTTATTAAATATTTAAAAAAAGGTTAATCGTGCGTGTTCACTGTTATTCAACATTTACCAAAATTTTATTTTTTTATTCAACAGAATCAGGAGGGTAGATGACGTCATAATTTACGTCACTGCAGGAATGAGTGCATTTGGTCTTGTACTCATAATAGTTTCCGTCTTGGAGACGGGCCCTACTAGAAGTCGTGCGTGCAGAGGAAAGCTGTCTCGCTACTGTGGTGTAGGAACTACGAGTTTGGTAGGTTTTTCTGACTTTTGTATACGCCTGAAAGCAATAGCGCCAAAGAGAAACTGGCGTTATTGAAAGGCCATGAAATCAGTTCAGGGTCACGCCTAACGCGTTTCGATACTTTATATGACGCATGAAAATGTATATACTACATTAAGGCCTATGTAATTATTACGTGTCGAAAATACAAGAAATACATGTACAAAGTATAAATTAAAGAAAATGAAAACAGAGGCGACAAGTAGATGATTAACATTGACCTTAACAGCTGAAAAGTCAGTGTTATCCAATAGTCAGGGATATGCACATTTACTCAAGTTTAAGTTGTCGTTTTGTGGGACCTTATTAACAATATCAAAGTGAGGGGGAAGAACTGACCATTTGGTGAGTATGTCAGCCTATAAGTCCTTTTGTATTCTGAACTGCGTATGCCCGTGTCCAAGGTCAATGGACATAAACCTATATCGTTTGGTGTTATGTGTGTTTATATCGATTGCGCTTGATATGGGCATGCTCAGACTACGAAATATCTTATACAGTAGTTAGAAGCTTGCCGTTCAATCACGTGACCCTGGGTTCAAATTATGTGTGATATCAGGATTTTCTTGCTCATGATTAAAACAAAAATCAATTAAAGGGACCATTAATCTATGAATATCATTTTACGCTCATAGGCTCAGTAGAGTGCCTATTATAGACTTAGCTGTCAAGGATGCCCTCTGTGAATATGTCCCAAATAAAATAATAATAATAATAATAATAATAATAATAATAATAATAATAACAAAAACACAGAATAGGGCCACAGTACTCCTTCACTAAGTGTTATTTATAAAATATTCCGAAGAAAGAATGAAAGTAAAAGTGCAAAAAGCCGGAAATGTAATGCATTTACTGAATTCCACTCTCAGTATCTTCAGAGGAAACACTCCTGTAAACATTTCTTCATTGCGTAGGTCTACGTTGAAAATGTTTTACTAAACATCGAATATAGTACAGGTACATTCATATTTCCAAACATTGATTATTAGGGTATTTTCACATCATTTTAGAAATCTCCTATAAAGCAGTTTCGGAAAGCTACGGTACATATTAGTACCCTTTTCAGAATAAATGAAGTTTCGCTAATATTCGGTCCATTTAAGCCTATCCTAAGACTCCGCCTGGTCGCGCTTTGGTTTTCAATCATGCATATTGCGTTGTTGTAATGAATGTTTATTTTATAGATTGCGCATAATTTTAGGTCGACTGTTTGAACTACGGTACATACTATAAAATGGTTTGGGAATTTACAATAAGAGAAAGCCGAACAAAGATAATGTAAGGACAGTCATATATATGCATATAAAGTAAACGCGTGAGCAAGCTCAGTATGTAAAAACGCATTTTACGTGCGGTGCGCACGTATTTCAATTCCGGCCTTGCAAGTCACACACGTCGACGGTAGCACACCTTACACGTCACACACCGTCTAAAAAACGCTCATCACACTCAACAACCGCCCCACGCGCACATATTCTGACGGCCCTGTGTGCATTTCACGATTCTGCGCAGATAACTGAAATCGTCGAGCCTGCAAACCAATTACGCAACGGGTTGATTGATACGTGTAATAGCAGTACTGTATTAAAGGGTCTTGTGGCAAATTGTATCGTATTGCGTTCTCGATAGATATGCCGATCATTTTACAATGCGTTATTGTAGAACGTAAGGGCGTGAATTGCTATTACACGTAGTTATCAAGTGATTTAAAGTACATACTTCAGACATTTCCTTTTCTATTTGATAAGCCATCATAATGTTGATGACAGCGGGTGTTTAACTGGCGGCGACGAAATAATAGAACATACCGATACGATACTCCTCACCCCAGGGGCAGAGGAGAGACGTGTCCTTTTAACTCAGTCAACACTACATACTAAGTGGTAATGTATCTTTTAAATAGAGTTGGTATATTGTATTACTCTTCCTACATTTATCCTATATTCCTCCAGTTAAAAATGTTCCTCTATTGGTTGTTGTGCAACTATGCGTCGTCTCCGACTACTTTATCAGTTGATGGGGAGGGATATTTTCTCTCGTTGGTTTACAGGTACCTTTAGGAAACGTGACGTAAGAAAGGACGCCAATTAGATGGCAACTCGGTATATGAACTGTAAAGTAACTGAAGGCATAGATGTTTATATTGGGAAATGTATCCAATTGATTGCATGCAATTCTAGACGTACAAATTAAGGATTGGGAAATGATCCATAAATACAAATATCATAGTGGGTTATATGAGCACAAAAACAACACATGTCTGTAATTAATACATGTTACTTCTTAATAAGAAAAAAAAAACACAATGTAAAAAAACAAAACATGTGCACTAAGGCCATAGGCCTACTTTTTAAAATGTACCAAACCATATTTGTACTTAAGACATATTCCAATGAAAATATTCACAGATTGAAACAAATCAGTTTACGCGGATTTGCAGACTTTTTATTTACGAACAAAATTACCAGCTTTATGGTCGATTCCAAGGGATAAAAGATATATATCAATATACATCTATTAATGGGCGATTAAAATATTTTACTTTCGTTGTCATTTCCGCTAAGCCCCGCCCCTCGAATTTTGTTTCTAAGGCCCAACAAAAAACGAGCGTAAAAACATAATATGCGTGTTTGTGGGACACGCGCGTTATCCTGTCCTGTTGTGATTAACCAGTTGTTAAGTTTGATTGAAACGCCTGAAAAATCCATTAAAATCTAATAGGTCCTTATGAAAATAAACAATAAAAACATTTAATTGTATAAATTATAGCCTCAAAACAAGCGTTTATTTATAGCGCGTTTCAAAGTGTGGCTTTTTGCTATTACAAATGAGTTTGTGAGTTAATAAGTAACTTAATTTAGGCCTAAAACATTCTCAATCTGTCATTTTATCTTTCAGCTTGGTTGTATTACATTTATATTATGCGTAGCGTGGATAGCAATCACAGTACTGTTTGGCTTCCCAACGACATTGGTCATTATGTTAACCGGATTTTGTGACTCGGTTGAAAACTTTGATCAAAATACTTGTCTGGATCTTACATCTTATGGTAAGTTGGCGGTCATTGTATGTACTATTTTTATATATCGTCGTCATCTTCTGTTTCGTCGTCGTCATCATCACCATCATTATCTGTATCGTTATTTAGACATTCATAAATAATAAGTAACTCAATTATATAATATATGCCTATATACAACATGTGAATCAAGTACGTACATAATGAACTCTTCTATATATATATATATATACACATTATATATATATATATATATATGTAACTTGATTTAGGTATATATATAGTTTCATCGTTATTTATACATTCATATATACATAAGTAACTCAATTATATAATATATACAACATGTGAATCAAGTACGAACATAATGTAGCCTACTCTTCGATTTCACGAACTAACGTCTTGTCACGCTAACAGGATTTGTCCACTCCCTAAGCCTTATAATGAGAGTATCTTATGTTTATGTTTGTCTTAAGACCTGTCTCTTATACACATCTTTATACTTTTGATTTTGAGAAATCACTCACTCACAGCAAAGCGATCTATCAATTAAGATCAAAAGTATATATAAAAAGTATTTAGACAGCAGCTATACAGATGTCTGGATATCAGTCTTCAACAATCATACTTAAGTGCTCTTTGATAATTAGAACAGGTACACACTCTTATTTATTATGGTTTTGTCTCTCAGGCTTCAGGCTAGGAGTCAATAACAAAAGTATCTGTGGGCCACGTTTGGAAGACTTCTGTCAGCAAGTAAGTTTATTACAAACTGCTGTATGCCTATATATAGTTATGATGTGCCTATATATGGTCAGGTTGTGATGTCATCATGACCATATTTAGGCATATCACATGTTTTTGTCATAAAATTTGATAGTCTGGACATGGCTTCATGTTCATATTTTAGTAGTCTCGTATATGACTTTATTAAAACATGTTTGCCAAAATTTATTGTAGAAAATCAAGGTCATCATAATTTAAAATCAGTACCACTAGTAATCATCATTATTATAATCGACATCATCAGGGTTCCTGGGTTCAATTCGTCGCTCACATCGCGAACTAACACAGTCAAAGTAGATTGTGTTAGTTCGTGAAATCAAGAAAGCGCGTCAAAATACGCGCTATTTTTGTTAAGGACTTTTTGTGTGGTAAAGAATACAAAATTGCTTGACAACCAATACGCGCTCGTTTTGACTACTGTGATTTCACGAACTAACGTCCTGTCACGCTAACAGGATTTGTCCACTCCCTAAGCCTTATAATGAGAGTATCTTATGTTTATGTTTGTCTTAAGACTGGATATTCCTCTTAGAAAAGTGATTAATTTAGCTGCTTGGCATAACTTTGGCCTTCGGGCGAAAACCAGTTAATAAAAAAATAAAATAAAATTATAATCCAACATCATAATCCTCATCATTATCATCATCATCATCATCATCATCGTCATCGCCGCTGTCGTCATCATCATATACCTATGTTCAATGCTCACAATTATCAATCAGTCAACCAAAAAAATACAATTTCATGGTCAAATGCTTTCGAATAAATAACATTTCACTTTTTCTTTCAGTCTGATGACGTAATGGAGTCGACGATTTTCTCGATCGCAGCTTGTGTAGCAATAGCAATCTCACTGGTAAGTACCACATATTTGTATAGTAGAAATCATTAAGTTTGCTCAATTTAATTTCATTAGCTTAAACGTTTAGATGACAATTGATTAAATTACACTGACTCAATCGATTTATTTGTGTTGGGTACACCGTCGTTCTCAATATTTCTTTAATAGAAATTCATTCAAAATGCATCTTATATCGTAAGTTTCCTTGGATGCAAGTCACGCGCTTGTTTTGTTTCCCTTTCAATGGACCTTTACGCTAAGCTCCGCCCCTTGGATATTGTTGCTAAGGTCCCACAAGACGGCAGTGTTAAAACATACGCGAACACGTGCGTTTTTGGACAACACGTGTGTTTGTAAGAGGTGCGCGTATTCCTAGCGCTGTTATGATTAGTCAGTTGTTAAGTTTGATTGACACTCCGGAAAGGTCTATTACTTATTGGATTGTAGGCAATATTACATGAACATACGTATGAGAACGTGATTGAGATTTACGAGAGTATTATGATAACATGAATTAAATACATAATATATACAGTAGGTATATCTGCGATACAATCAATATTAGGCCTTAAATATAAACATTACGTAATATTACTCGATTAAATTTATTTATTGACATTTTAGGCTACCCAGAATAAAGCTCTGAAACATTACGATAACTGCTTTTTACAGGTGTTTAATGCAACCAAATACATAGGCATAGACATCTATAGATCGAAACAACTAATTTTCTCTGAGTTACACGCTTGCGCATACACACAGGTTAATGATACGTTAAAGAACGTAGATTATTATAATACAGGACATAATTGTAATGATTAATTGTAGTAATATTACATTTCTACCTTTTGTACGTCCCCAAAGTTTATAAAGCATTTGGTACGAACGGCCGAAGTAGGGTAACAGGAAAAGCTACGTCTGATTTAGGGCCCATGGTCCTGGCCAAAAATGCCGACTAATATCCTAGGGCCCCTGGCTTATAGCCAGTGAGAGCTTAGTGAGGTTTTACGACACTGTTTGAAATATCTGAATCATATGCAAATATTACATTCAGGTGACTATCAGAGACGTTTTACTGATCCACACTATTGAGTCCCTTAGTCAAGACATTCTATCTTATCTATAATTCATCTAATGGATTAAGACGTTAAAATCAATTTTGAATTGAACCAGACAGGTCGATAACATGACATTGCCTCGAACGTCTTATTACAATTATCTATGTTACAACAGACTTTTCCAATAAGCCCCGCCCTTTGGATATTTTTGCTAAGGTCCCGCAAAACGGCGCAGTAGCGTAAAATACATGCGTTTGTTGTTCGTATTTCTTGCCCTGTGCTGGTTCTGATTGGTCAGTTGTTAAGTTTGATTGACATTCCGAAAAGGTTGTTTCACTCATGACGTCACTTTACTTCATCCACAGGTTATATTCTTGATCGGCTTAGCGGCGAACTTTGCTTACGTACGGACTTTTGGTAAATTGCAAGGAATTCGAAAAACTGGCAACGCAAATGAAAACCATGGAACGTATACTAACGAGGACCTATTTATGAACCCCGAAACAAGAACGACAGATTTGTAATACAACACAAAGACATTTATTTCTGACATCATTGGCGGAATACAAAATAATGTATATAAAATATACATTTTAAAGCTGCAATTTATTAATAGCAATGTTTATTGGCTGAACAGATGATCTATCTAAAATGCTGAATAAACTCAACCACAAGGAATTATTAACTATTATTATGCATGTTTAATTATACGCCTAATATCTTCCCTTTTGATACGTTTTTGTCTAGGCGTTATTAGCTGTCAATGAATGTAAATAACACGTTGTGTATGTCTACAATGGATATGTGCTAAAAATATTGGAACATTTTGGAGAAGTGCATCCTGATTATATTGATGTCACAAAGCAACAAAACTCGATCGTATCACAAGAATATCCACCAAGGGAAATCCAGGGTTCAGAGATACTTACAATTATCGGAAACATAGAGTGTTGGGATCATTCAATACGCGACACAATACATATAGCAGACAGTGCTCAGTTGAGATAAACTCAATATCCGCCATCTTGAATTGATTTCGTCACAAGAGAGATCGTGATTGGATTCAGAGTAAACTAGCTGATTTGTTGAGACCGTTCTATTAAATATGCGTGAATTACTAAAACGGCTTCGTGTTATTTGATGCGTAGATTTGGAAAAGCACACGTCTATTCAATCGAATTATTGTTGTTATTGATAATGTTTATGTTGATCTGACCTGAAGTCAAAACATGACCTGTTTGGCGGTCACTCGACTGTCATGGTTTCAGTGTGAAAGGAGAAATAAAGAGCTGAGCAACTGTTTGTTTATTCTGGCCTATGATCTCTTTTTATTGTAATTTATCAGTTATATTATATGGAAGTACCGGTAGATGGTTATTATTGGTTTTATTTTCTGTTTACTCTTGAGGGTTCCAACATACTGTAATAAACAATCCAAGATTCCATCCATGACGTTTGGACATTCAGTAAATATTTTAAGTAAAACTTGAAATATTTTAATAATTGGTTTAAAGAATGTACATTGCTTTTAACGAATATTTTTATTTTGTTTAGTGCTTTATCAAATGCGTCGCCTCCGTCCCTTACCTGCTTAATATTATCGTTAGGCTAATATATAAAATCCACATTGACACACGTTAAGTAGTCAATCAATGTGTTTTCCTTCAGAGCACCCCTTTCAGATAACGTCACCACCCAGCTCACTAATTGGACGAACTTTCAGCTAAGCCCCGCCCCTTGGATATTGTTGCTAAGGTTCCACACTGTAGAAACGCACGTAAACACGTGCCTTTTTGTAGGGCACGCGTATTTCTGACCTTGTTCTGATTGGTCAGTTAAGTTTGAGTGACACTCTGGAAAGGTTCAATTTTTATTATTATTACAGATGATACCATTATTAGTAATGGAATAATTATAAACTTATAACCTACACAGTAACTAAAACGTACCGTAGTTAACGTAAACTTTATTTGCACAAAACAGACAGGGTGGTGGGCTTACGAGGTAAATGTTATGTTTAACATTAACAATATAATGTTGACATATTGATGGGTGTTGATGGAGGTGGGGTGAATGTTAAGTGGGGACTCGATTGTCAGGTGGTGGATTCGAAATGGAGGTTTTTCTTGGGCACCAGTATTACTGGTCAAAATATTGAATATTGTTTATTTTAAAACTCTATTCCATTTTTTTTTAACGAATACAGCCACATTTGAGTCAGTTAAACTTTTAATGATTAAATTTCTGTAATAAATTTAATGGACATTAAAAGAAATTCCTCAATATTTGTGTTTTCATTCTATGAATTTAATCAATATACGTTTATAGCATATGGTTTAACTTTCGAAATCTAAACTATGGAAAATGCAACAATTTACGAGATAATGAAAAAAATAAATAAATTATAAATCAGTGTTATAATACCTTATTTGTATATAATTATGACATATCTAGCTACTGCATATTGATCAGTTAAAGGATAGCCCATACATAATATAAAATTGATGTTCGATACTTGATTTATAACCGTAGTTTAATAGCCAATTATCTGGCCTAATAATAAGCTATATAATATGCTACTGGTGGAGAGTATACGAAAGTCGTTCAGTATTTTAAGAACAAGTTATAGGCCTAAGTCTAACTTTCTGTTACATCACCGTCACGCGGTCGGTTAGACTAGACAGGATCGTTTCCATAAAGTTTGAATAGATCTTCCGTGAACGTTTTGCCACGTTTTCGTTTCCTCGAGACATGGTTTGACTTTTACAGAGTTGATGTATAATATGGAAATATAATCATGCTGGCAGCATGCTGTAATATTAATAAGTTAAACCATAAAAATGCATGCAAACATCAGGCAATGTTATCAGTTACGATTTATTATAGACACAACCAATAGGCCTATGTTTTTCAGCCGAGAATGTGTAAGAAGTTATTTGATCAAGCAAGTCTTTCCATGTATTTTGAAAGTCGAACGTTTGACTGTGGACGTTAGCCTATAAGGACTGTCCACACACATTGGCCAATTCGTAGTTCAAACGTCGCTTGCTTGTATCCAATGTCAGTCGACGTAAACCTACGCTCTGTGTATGTTTTTTTTTGTTTATGTCGATTGACATTTGACACGGGCATGCGCACTTATAACTAAAAATTGGTTTATACGTACCTCTAATTTTATACCGTCATGCAATCGCACAAAAGGTATTATCTCAAAGCTTCCCACCTCACCATTGCATTTTTGAAATTCTGAGTTGTCTCAGAAATAGTGTACAGATTAGGCCTATCATTTATGTAAGTTAAATTATTTTTACTTACTTTTTTCTGTGTATAATACACCTCAAATAAATTTACACTAAACTAATATAAGTACTTATTTATACATGTTTTATGTCAGATTTGCATGATTGTTACTCTTATCGGTAGGCTATTTATCATGACAATAAAATCTATCAAATCTACGGTATGTATTTTAAAGAAAATTTGTACTTTTATGTTTCTTAAAGCAAGCGTTACTACCTTAATGTCTATTAAATAATGAAAGCCATGTTTTTCATGCGTTGAAGTGACAACTGTTTCGCGCGTAATTACGTCACGTGTGAAATCTGGTTAGGGAAATTTAAAGGGCCGGGACAAACTTTTTATTTGTTCAAAATAATCAACTAAATCATTAAAAAGAGTTATATAGTGTTAATTTTTCAACAGTCAACGATTTCCATTTTTTTCAGAATAATTGATAATATTTCAATCAATACAGACAAGTGGGCCAAAATACAAATTTCATTTTCTTGTATGTAACAATGAAAATCGAACTTGAATGGTCATTTAAAATATAATATACAGTAGTGAATGAGTTATATTAGGCCTATCCATTATTATAGGCCTACAATAATCCAATTATAATGAACAATCCGAAGAAGGAAAACAACCTATTGCCTATTGAGTCTAAACTCATGAATGTCATTAAATAAATACAAGCAAAAGAGGCAGCTTCAAAGAACCATCACATTTGTTATTAATTATAATAATTGCATAGCTTGGAAAATACCACAATGATTAATAATCACGTCACAGTTGGACGCGCGTCAGCTGCTATCAGGTGGCTGTATCAACATCTTATATATTGGCTACTACTATGTTCCAATGAAAAGGGATGGATCCAGCGGGGGAGGGTGGGGGTGCGTCCGCACATACTTAAAAACAGATAAATAATAATTAGTAAATGATAATAATGCTATATGTATTGTATCCCTTGGTTCGAAAAAAAAACATGTTCCGGAGCATGTTCCGTATCATGTGTTAACGTGCACACGCCTAATTTGTTTTATAAATTCATAATCGGCAAATGTTCAACCCTTTTTTTCTAACCGTTAGAATACAAGTCTTCAAACTCAACCTACTTTTAAGATTAATAGGAAATTTTAGAATGTCATCAAACTGTGAAACGTTTTAGCGTTGAAATGCGCATTAGTCACGTGACTCCCATGAGAGCACCTTGATCGATATCCGTCTTGCGTACATTAGTAAATGGAAACCTAGTCGAAATTCAAGAATATTTCCCTGTGTTCAGTATTTTTGGCTCAACTGTCGAAATTCAAGTATTTGTTTTTAGCATTAAAGCCGGGCACTCACTGCGTCGTTCGACCGTCGGCCTACGATTCTAACTTGCTAGCATTAGGCGACGCAACGCCGTTGTTGTTTGTCGGTGGCAGTCTGACTCAGATCGTGATTAAAAGCGATCCGTTGCACGCGCGTCGTTGCGTTGTGTTCTCCCTTACAATCCCATTGCTCGACAACCGCATTAGATGACGACTCGAGTAGCTACCTGTTTGTATTCGTTATTCCTTTGTTTGACTTCAATACGTAAAGCACATTACGTTGCATAGGCCTAAGCATGCATATCCATGAGTATCAAATCTCACTTAATTCGTTTCTGGATTACTTTTAATCAACTGGATGGAAGTGAAATCATTTACACAATATCAAACCTGCTTAAGTTTTTTCTTTTCTATGACTCGATCATGAATTTAAAGGAGAGGAAACGAGTTTATTCAGGGGGAGGATAGCCGCGATTAAATCACTTTTTATTTTTTATATTCAAGGGAACGATGCATGTTGTTTAGTAGAAGCAGCCGATATTATGGATATACGTAAACCAAGGTACTTGTCTGCACAAAAAATAAATATAAAAAACCCATATTTTAATACATTGACAGAGCAAAGACAACAGAACAAGAATTATATGTTACATAGGCCTAATTATTTGGACTGTTTTCGTCTCTCTAAAATACTTTATTTTCTTAAGTTTAGTTTTACGGAATTTGATAAATAATCAGCCAAGTTTAAGCTGCGAATCACAAGCTTTTCTCACTATCACCTTTACCGTTATATTATGCCATCCAGGTATCGGCATTACAAACACATTTACCAAGGTGTTCTGTGCACGTAAATTTTGCATTAACAAATTAGTGCGGCGATACGATAAACACCGACGACTATTAAACAAATGAAATGAAAGTTGCAGTTGATTGATCTTTGTGACTGTCTACAGCAATTACCAATCTAGAGAAATTAACTGGAATTCTGAGTAGGCCTATCACACGAGGGAATCCGATGATGACTAGAGGGATCCCGAGGATGACCAGAGGGATTCCGAGAATGACCCGAATATTATTTTGCCTAGTGATGATGACCCCATTACATAATGACATACTCTGTTTCTGTTTATTGGTTTATCGCAATTTAAAGCATACAATTGTATAAAATATCATAAAATATTACTTACCGTATCTCAAGTAACATATAGCAATAATCATTAATGAAGGAGGTCATAATAAGCTATAAAAAAAAAACTTTAAAAGGCATGACCAGCGGATAAACAACCAAATGGGATTACAAGATTAAATATATTTTATAAATATATTATATATAGATAGAAGAAACAAAAAAAAAAGGGGTGGATGAAAAGGATTACATACTAGTAATAATACACAAGCATTTACAGTTCGAATAAAGAGGAGTATATTTAACAGAATCACAACCAACTCTGTGAACTCTTTACTGACGTAATAGCTACGATGGATTGTTCAACTGGTATACCTTGATTATTCTGCATACTTTTGTTAAAATAACACTGAAAATAAATATTTTTAAAGAAGAGTACCGTAAACATGTTGCAAAATTTCCACTAAGGTAGACAATTGAATACTATATACAACGCAATTCCCGTGACTCACAAGGCAATTTGTCTTTTCAAACAAGAAAGACAATTATTAGAACAATGATGAAGTTATGATAATGACGATAAAAAGAAGAGAAACGCCGACAATGAGGCCATTTACAGCCTATAAACCAATACAAAATTAAAATAAATCGGAATACTCTAGTATGTTATGTTTGAACCAGTTCGATGTTCAAACTTCTATTTAAGAGTTTTATCACATTGTCCTATAACTGCACATGAGTAAGAAGCTTTCTATTAATTCCACATAAACAAATTTCGCCTGAAACTAAACTGGAATTTGCCACGTTTTAAAATGAGCTGCAAAACAAGTAAATGAACTAGGCATTAAAATGTTCTGTTGTTTCCTTGTGTATCATGTATTTCGCAACACGTTATTACAAAACAAGTATTATTAAGTTAAGTAGGCTCTACTACAGTTTCTCTGCCGAACTACATCGTTCTAAAATTTCTCATTGGCCTTCCAAGTAAAGATTATTCGAAAGTTACACGGGTTGACTGAAGTCCAGGTTCCAGATTTATCAAACTAGAAATCAGCATAAATTCGTCTTTTGAGTCATTTTTTTTTGTTGCTTAAGTCAAATTTATCAATATTTCTTAACCTAAAAATTGCATAAAATTAAAAAGTCGATTGTACGCATGCGCCATCTAAGACGATTTTTAAGCCAGGATTTTGCTAAGATGGTTTGATAAATCAGTTTAAGACATTTGCTAGGGACATCTTAATGTTTTTGATATAAGACATTTGCTAAACTGAGATTAATAAATCCCGGGCCCAGCCTTTCCGGAATGTCAATCAAACGTAACAACTGACCAATTAGAACAGCTCTAGGAATACGTGCGCGTTTCACAAACACACGTTGTCCTACAAACGCACGTGTTTGCGTATGTTTTAACACTGTTTTGTTTTGGCAACAATATCCAAGGGGCGGGGCTTAGCGGAGAAGTTCCATTCTATAGCAGTTTCCCCAAAAAATTTACTAATAAAACATGCATGGGTTTTATAGAACGCTTCTCTAAACAAACACAGATACACTGAAATGATGTAGGTCTGAAATTAATCTATTTTTCTTGGCTACATAATAAATGGAATGAAGACACTGGCCAAAAGAAGACGTTTCAACATGTCTTTCAGTTCGCTATCATATCCCAAAACCAGCGTACTGTGTGTTGCTAATTTGTAAACCGAGTAATTAGCATGAGAATGTTGCGCTATTGTATATTTTGTACAGAAAATCTGTAATACTTTTACTCATAACATCGATTCCAGTAAATGACCCATCAATTTAAATTTTCATTTGTTTTGGTTTCGGGATGGTAAGCCTCATTTACGATTCTGAATCTTTTGTAATAAATTTCAGACAAACGTAATCAAATCACGTTAGAAGCAGACACTCAAGTGCACGTATTATCGCGCTCAATCTAGAGCACAAGTGCAAGACTATACATTGTTTAATACGTGTCTAGTAGGCCTAGATTGTTCACATTGAAAATGTGTACCGGTATGTGTTTTACTATACTGTTCGAGCAAAAAATTAAAAAAAAAAAAATAAATAAATAAATAATTTAGTGCAGACTAGCTTGAGTGGATGCAACGGGCAATAAATGCTTTCTTTCAACAGATCTACTCACAAACGCGAAAAGCACAACGAACGTGGGAAATGATATGAGTGAAACATTGTAGGCTTACACAGATGTACAAGTATATCGAGAATGTGCGTAATTTCACAACTTTCGAGTGTTAACAACTTCCTTTCCAAAACAGGTGAAAACAATGTAGGTCACATGATTACCATGGTAACCGCGCACCTGGAATAATTAACCCAGTTAAAAATTTACAGCATTACAATGGATAGCAGAATTTGTATTGAAGGTTGTATACAAGAAAAATTAAGATTGATCGCTTACAAATAGATTGAGGGCGTTTGGTAAATTGAATGAGTGTTTTAATCAAAGTGGAATTCTGTGAGCTGAAGTATTAGGCATAATTGCGCGTACAATTCAATCGGTTACGGATATCGAGTACAACGATCACGGTGTATGAAATAACTATGCACCAGGGGCAGGTGACTTTGCTTCACTAAGGTACATGGTCCTATACCGCCACCCTACCTATGCATCTCTCTCAGCACGTTACCAGCCTAGCAGTATTTAAAACCAATTGATTAAAATTTAAACAAAGGTTTATAAATTCATGCGCTTTATAAAATAGGAGATGATATATTTGAATGAACTTTAACAATGAACAAAATTATTCTGCAGCTAAAAATCATATTCATGAACAGCTGTGATTCTGCAGGTAATTGGTATGCATATTCATGAAGATTTGTAATTTATATAGGGCCTATGCATGAGTTGACGCACAATGGCATATGGTACATATGCCTATGTATAAGGACTTATTTGCAACGTTAAAATTATAAAGCAGATCCCTGAAGGAAAAGGGATTAAATTACTAATAAGTATTCCGAGTGTGTCCCTTACATGGTCGTAATATCTTATCATGTATTGTATTCCCGACAGAAATCCTGAATTAAGGACTAAATCTGCTGGAAATAAATTATTAGAATAATCTTGTGTGTACTCCTTCTTTTGTCTTTTTTTTATAACATAACCTGAATTATTAGTTTTAGTATTAAATTAATTATTAAATAGAATAGATTCAAGTTATGCAACGATTATCATTTCATTAATTAGGCTATACATGGATTTTTTTTAAATTTGAAAGAATCAACATTCAGCATTTTACCTTCATTCCAAATGAAGTTGTTCAAAGAAAGCACTTATGGTATACAATCGAAAGCCTAGCAACGCAATTCCCGCGGCTCACTAAAGGCAACTTTTCTTTCCAAACCAGATGGATAAATAAATAATATTAATAATGTAATTTTATCAATAATAATAAAGTAAATAATAATAATAATAATATTGAGCATTTGTAGCGCGTCGGTATCCATTCCAAGGGAACGCTCATGGCGAGCTGACTTCTTGTCCTGGCCAAAATAAACATCCGTTAGTAAAAATGGAATAATAATTTAAATATAATACCAATGATGATGATAGATATAATGATAATAATTATGATAATGATGATGAACAGCGAAACGTCGACATTCAGGCCTATTACAACTTACCATAAACAGATACAAAATAAGCCAATTCGTGGTTTGAACTGCGCATACCAGTATCTATGGTAACTGTCGACATAAACCTATGTTGTGCGTACGTTTATGTTCATAAACCTTGATGCGGCCACGCGCGGTTCGAAATACGAAATGACGTATTAAATTAAATCCGATTAATGTAGTGAGTGTGTCAACTAATGTTTGACCATAGAGCAAAGAAACAGATTTGTTTCTTTGCTCTATGGTTTGACCAAGTCCGATGTCCAAACTTCTGTTAATTATTTTATCAAATTTTCCCTTTAGTAAGAAAGTAACTTACATGAGTAATAAGCTTTCTAATAATTCCCCTTAAAACACATTTCTTCTAAAAACTGGAGTGGAATTTCCCGCGTTTTAAATAAGTTACAAAGGAACAATGAACAAAACATTTAAACATTCTGTTGTTTCCTTGTGTATCATGTATTTCGCAACACATTATACGTATTATCAGTAAGTTAAATACGCTGTATTTCAGTTTCTCTTTCGAATGTTACATCATTCTAAAATTTCTAACCACAATTAAAAAAAATTACATACAGGAATGTATACATGCATGTTACTGTACATAGATACATATTTGTTAACCACAAAAATGGGATAGTGGTATTCACTCCTGTAGTCAGTTATGATAAACATAATTAAAATAAAACACAATACGGTAAAAATAATGGTAAAAAATATTAATATGAAAATCAAGGAACATCCTGAAAGTGACTGGGGCCCTAAAACTGTTATTAGAGTAAAGTTACTTTTATCACCCTTTATACTCTCAGTGAGTTGTCATAGCAACTCCATGGGAGTTGTCATAGCAACATCCTAGGAGTTGTCATAACAACTTCCTAGTGCTATTCAACATTCATTGAAAACATTTATACTGTAAATTTATAAGAAAATAATGTAAATGTTCCAGTTAATTAAAAGATAATAGAACTATTTCATTATTATAAAAAATTTCATAGTGGTGAAAAATGATTTATTCTTATTATTATTCTTTTACAATGTTACAGTACTTAGATTTTAAAATTTTTATTACATCCCATAGAGGGCCTCCTTACATTACAATTACAGAATTATAACAAGGCTATACATGTGTACTAAGGACATTGTGTACAACTGATTGGCAGCTGGCTGTTGTACGAAATGACAAGAGTTTGGAAGGGAGAGGAATCCTTGGACAAGGATTGCCAGTCACAACGTTACTGCGATTTATACACACTTTGCAAAGCATCATGTTCAAAAACTAAATTCAGTTAATTCCTTTTAAAGATGTTGCTCAAAATCTCTCGGAATTGAAGAAATACAATCCGAGTAATTTTTAGCGACACTTGCGCTTTCGTTGGGGACATTGGCCCCTCTGCGGGGACGTTGCACCCCGTCAAGCAAATCCTGGCGCCAGCAGTATGATGGCTTAAAACAGTTCATATAACTATATATGTATACTTCCAAGTCAATGATACAAGGCACCTGGTTGGTTAATTCTGTTGTAATAAAATATTTTCTACCAATCAGCAAATGGATCACTTGTATCAGATACTTCACCAGTACTATCAAATAAGATAAAGAAATAAAGATGTTAAATTAAGATAATAACAAAAACTAACATCATTCCTATAAAGTGTATATGTACATTATTTTTTAATTTAATTAAAATAAATTTTGAAATACAGAATATGATATTAATGCTTACCACTAAGAACCAAATGAGGCAATTTAAATACTTTAATTTTTCAAGATTAAGTTGCGTATACTGGTACTGGAATAGGCATTTATAATGCGCCTCTTCGTTGAGGTTATAAAGTGCAGTTCTTTCTCCTGGTCATTGCTGCTGGTAATCAGCGCAGGAGCAGGCAACCCCACCAGGTACCCGTTTGTGTGAAGAGAAGCAATGCAGATAATGTGCCTTGCTCAAGAATACACAATTGAAATGCACTGTGAGGGATTAAAACCCCGACCTCTAGGTTGGGAAACTGTTCCAGCTGCGCCAAACCGCTTCCACATAACCGTACTTATTCGAATAAACACCCAGCTTTGAATAAATGACCCACTCGAATAAATGCCCCTCGAGAGCCTCACTTGGAATGAACGCCCCATCAAATATATGCCCTGGGCCATTTGTTTTACCGCCTTCTCTAAATGACTGTACACAAATATAACTGAAGTAACGTCATTTTCAACACTTTCTATAAATGCAGTAGAATTACATTTTATTAGTTGAAATAAAATATGGCTTACTTTATGTCTAAGCTTTCCAATTACAACAATACCCAATTGAAATCCATACACCGTGTTTATCAGATTGTATCAGAGTATTGCTATAAGCAAGGCAATTTAGGATACTTGAAATGAGGTGCGACTTCCTGGGATGCAATGGGCAGTGCTGTAGTGGTAGGAAATGGTACTTTCCACAGCTGAATGTCTTTCTCATGATTATATATGAGTAATGCAGTATGTGAATGGTCCCATTAGAGCACTTATAAACCATAGGACAATGCAACTCAACAGTTCAATTTCCTGTGACACTTCAAGCACTGTCTACCAGTATAATGTTCAAAGGGTTATTAATAGATAGTAAATCCTGTTAGTTCTGTTATTAGTATAAACATGACATTTTAAAATGCTTTCAAATGCTATCCATTCCCTGTTTAGTTCACATTTATTTACTTGCATATTTAGTGCGAACTGGATACCAGATTTCTGTATTTAATGGCACATAATGACAACGATGATAATACTAATGATAGAGCTTTCATTATCTTGTTTGAGAAACAATCCGCCAAGAAAATTTCCCATTCTTGTTACCTGCTCAGGAGGTGAAATGTAATTTTAGAAAGATTTGAAGTTGCTCAGATCAGAGATACACTAAATATATGGGAGGGGAGGGGGAACAAGAATGGAAGAGGGGAAAGAATTCCATAAAAAAGAGAAGAAAATTTAGTAAATGCTAATGCTAATTAAAAAAAATAAAATAAAAAAATTGAAAGAAAAAAAAACAAAAAACTGATTGATTCTTTTAATGTTATTATTGATCTTTTTTGGTTGCTCTAAAATTGTATTGCTGAAAAAGCTCTAAAATAGTTTAATTTTGATTGAATCTTTCGGGATTTAATGTCAGAACTAAATTGTGTAATCGCTTGATTAGTGAGAGGAAGTGAGTGAATTGTAGCATCAAATGGATCAGGCGTAATAGTCATCGACGGACTCTCATCTGATCAACTCACAAAGTTAATGGACACTGTGAAGAGCTTAGAGGCTGAGTGCTAAGTCTGACTGGATTAGCAGGATGAAGCCAATCAACAATGAGACGATTAATACACACACTGCTTTGTGATTCACTACTCAATAAACCTACAAGGTAAATAAACCTATGGTCATTGGGGTATATAGGAATGTGCACCTCCCCAAAATACATCCCCCAACCAGTCATGCCCACCCCCACTGGAAATGTTCCAACGCAATAAAAAAAAAAGTATTAAAAATCACCTATCACCTGATTTTGCGAACTGGTTCCCTTCACTTAATCACCTTTGCACCCCCATTTCAAAATTCCTAGATATGCTACCGCTTACACTGTTTTAATAATAATAATAATGAAAAGGATGATAATAACAACAATGATGATGATGTGGCGAAATTTCTACATATAGCAATTTCCATATATAATTGAGTACCTGCCAAATTATAGCACTTAAATGTATATATGTTTAGATCTGTTTTTATTAAAAAGGTTCACTTTGTCTACTTGGTACACTGCTACTTGCTTTCGCTGAAAAGCACGCTATTATGTAACACGCTCACATTTGACCGTCAAAATGAAGGGTCAATAGCCGTTTTATGTAGTGAGTAAATGTCCAATTTTAGGACTTAAAATTATAAATCTTTAGATCTGTTTTTTCAGAAAGTTCACTTTCTCTACTTGGTACACTGCTTGTTGCTTTCGCTGAAACACATGCTACTATGCAACATACTACTCACGTTTGACAGCCAAAACGGACGGTCAACAGCAGTCTCATGTAGCAAGTTACTGCCAAATTATAGGATTTAAATGTCCAAGTCTAAGTTTAATGATGTATGTGGATTGCAGTTTTACATCTCTTTAAATATGAGGTGATACTGTAAATTTAAAACATGTCATTTATCCCTTCGATGTATGTCACATAACATAACATATTCTACAATATTAATCATACAAATCTCTAATAGGAAATTAATAAAAATGTGGGTTTATCAGGAAGTGAGTCGATTGGCGAGAGGAAGCATGAAGAGAATTGGAATTGGTTTAAAATAAATGTAATAAATAACTAAAAAGGATGTTAAGATTAACAAGGTCAATATGTAATTAAAGTTCAATATTTAATTAAGGATTCTATGAATTAATTAGAACACTTGTATTTGTTTTTAATTAAACTGTTATATATTAATTAAATACAAGTGTTTTTGTATTTGTATTTAATTAAACTGTTATATATTAATGCTTGCGGTACACCACATAGATAGTTATGAAAAGAACTGTTGTTGGTTGAGAATATGTGGACGTTTCGATTGAGTTGCTTCAATCGTCTTTTATTTATTTTATTTATTTATTTATTTATTCTTTATACTGGGTTACCTCTTCAGTAAAAAGTTACTGTTCTCCCAGAGGGCCCAGTACGCATAAAACATTAAAACATTAAAATCGCAAGAGAATAATATCTGCAGAAATTCCAAAACAGTGAAATACTTATATGTTTTGGTTGGTGAGACTTGCTGGTGATTAGTTGAAAACAAAACTATGATAGGAAATTAATAAAAATGCAGGTTTATCAGGAAGTCGAGTGGAGAGAGGAAGCATGAAGAGAATTAGAATTGGTTTAAAATAAATAAAATAAATAACTTTTGTATTAGCCTTTTTGTATTATCCTTTTCACACGTAGTCCATTTTCGAAATCGCGCTTTACTAGACAGCAGGCCCGTATCCAAGTTGAGGAGGTGGTGAAATGGGTGTGTACTATAGCACCGTTTCCTCCAAATCGAAAAAAAAAAGTCTGCATTATCAAGACAGTCGGAAATGTACTCAATATATATTTTAATTATTTTTTTGTAATAAAACTTAAAAAGGGAATCCTAAATCTATTTGTAAACATCTAGTATTAAACATGGACAGTACTATACAGACTACTAACTGTATTTGAAATCTGTTCTTTGAATCCTTCTGTTCATCACTGACCTGTAGGTGACCTGAAGAAGTTCACTATGTGAACGGAAGCTTGTGGCTCAATTTGACAGTAGTGTCTGCCTTGTAATTAATGCTGCTTATGCAGACACAGCTACACATGACATTTTCATCATGTATTCATTATTAATATGCAATAAAGTTCACAAAAAATATAGAAACAGACTAATACCTCTTGACATCAGCATACTCTACATAATCAGCAACATCTGTGTTATCAAATACATATGTTTCATGTCGCCGGTTCAAGGTAGGGCTCTGTAAAAACATATTACAACATACATAGTTTAACAGATTAGAAAGCATTGGTGAAGTAAGGCACACAATAAGCTAAACTCAGATATTAGGTTTATTATCACTTGTCTATTTAGAAGATACAAGTCAACATTTATTGTCAAAATAAAAATGTTAACATTTTTGTTGTACCATATACCATAGAATCATAAATAAACATGTGATATAGTTTAATAAATAATTTCTTAGTAAAAAAATTTATTAATTTAATTACTTAATTTTATCTACATTGAAAAAGTAACTGTTTCCATAGATAACCACTTCAAAGATATGAGGAATAAATGATATACAGGGGAAACTTTCGAATACCAAAACTGTTTTTAAAGATTAGGATAAGTTCTATGGCTCTGTGATGAAGTTAAATCTGAAAATGAGGTTTAGAAAGTGGCGTTGTTTTTTGAAGTGAACAAATTTCTGATGTTTTCAAAATTTGAATCCAGAATCCTGGTTTTGGTAGGCAAGCATCTTAACCACCGAAATACAGCTGTATTCCCTTTTAGATGTTTTGATTTGGTTTGAGAGTCTCCTCGAAATTGGGACGGTCTGCTGCACTCCCACGAGTAAGCGAAACAAAATCCTGAGAAAAAACCCATCTTCTGCAAATTCATGACTTTTGCATGTTTTTATTACTATTTTATAAATATTTTTCAGGGACCAGCTTGTGATTGGGATCAGCTTGTGATTGGGATCAGCTTGTGACTGGGATCAGCTGGTGACTGGGATCAGCTTACGATTGGGATCAGCTTACGATTGGGATCAGCTTATGACTGGGATCACCATGCATAATAAAATATAATTAGATGTGATAGCAGCCCACGAATTTCACGTCGGCAATCGGCAATTGCCGACCATATTGCCGAGCCATAATTGCTACAGGACGGCAATTTTTTGCCGACCTAGGCCTAGATTTCTTTGCTTCAAAAACTGCTTGGACAGTCAAAAACAGGCTATAGCAGACACTAAATTTCATGTACGTCGTCAAACCAAGGAAACTGGTGGTTAATAAAACAGATTTCTTTGTACAATAACTATTTTTAATCGGCATGCAGTACGTACGATTTGTGTACAATTGTCTTATCTTTCTCGCCTAGTCATTTCGTAGGCTAGGCCTAGGTAAGAATGACGCTACAACATCGCACAATTGAAGCCATGTGGGTCGCGTAGATCGTAATGCTTTATCTAAATCTATTATTTGTCTTCATTTTACAGTATTATTATCATATTTAAAATGTTGTTTATTATCTAAAAACAACAAAATTCAACATATTGTAGGCCTAATCCTTTAAACGCAACCACGATCGCATCGTGACTTCACTACAGACAAGTACTGTACATGTGTGGAACATCCCTGACATGCATGGGTAGTTTTGAAGCAGCCTGTGATGATACGATTGTAGTTTTTTTACGAAAGTGATATTTCCCATGCCAAAGATAACGATAAAACGAACGCTAAAACCAAATTTATTCGGCGATTTTCTTATGTAAAACATATGTATTATACTACACTATTTAATTAATACAAGTACAACCATTCTTTCACCAGCAATATATTGATTTATTAGAGAAATTAACAAAATCACAATCTGTAGATGACGATGTAAGGTCGAGCGTTCGGAAAAATCGTAGTTTATACTTAGTAGGCCTAGGTAGGAAAAAATTGCAGATGCTGCCGACCTCGGAGAATTTAAGGTTGGCAAATTTTTGCTGACCTAATTTTTTCCTAATTTCACGGGCTATGATAGCCTTAATTAACAATAAAATAGAAAGACAAACTACTATTTCTATGCAAAAACATTTTTAAAAGAGTAAAAACAAATTAAAATTATTTGAGCCACAAATGCCATGTTTATTCCACCAACCATAACTTACCATGGTTCCTTTCTGTTTCTTTTGAGTTTGTTTTTCCTGCACAATCTTCATATACTGTTGCATGACTGGGTCTATTGAAGCATCCTCTGCTGTTTCTTCTTTTTTGTCATCTTTCTTTACCTCCTTCTGTTCTTTTACGGTTTCATCACTTCCTGGTGATGCTTCCGGATGATCTGGTGATGCTCCTTGGTGTCCTGATAACCCACCAGCCTACAAATCCAAAATCAGTAATTATTTTACATTTTGAATTAAAAACCAAGTAGCAACATTCCACAGAAAGCTGGGATACTAAAAACATGTGTCCGTAAGTAGTGATCCCTATGGAGACAAGAACAAAATGATTGTTTTAGTACCTCTTTTTTCTCAAGTTCTTCAAGTGTTCTTCTCTCTCTTTCTCTGGCTTCTTCTTCATTTCTCCGTCTTTCCTCCATTCTTCTTTTCCGGTTTTCTTCCCATTCTTTTTCCTCTTGTATTCTTTTCTCCTCATCTTTTGCAAGTTGTTCAGCTATTACAAAACAAAAGTATTGTTTAAATAAAATAATAATAACAATAAACAAATAAATAAATTACACAAACCTATAAATAAATTACACAAATCTAAAAAGATATTGGTAGTCTATGAGTGATGGTACATACTGCCTTCCTAGACTCCGGTGGCAAAGTCCATTACCATTGTTCATGGCTAGGAGGAGGCGGGTTGATGTTTAATAATACATTAATCTCACTCACATAGACTACAAACATCAATTTTGTGTAGTCTATTTCGTATTTCATTTTTAGCACCTGAAATTGAAGGTGTGCAAAGATTGGCAAAACATAGCACTTCACTAAAGAGCCTGAGAGGGTGACACGATGGTCTTACCCTTTAGCACCAGGGAATATATCAGTTCATCCATGTAAGCATTCACAAAATAGTGTATCTATGTTTAGATATACTGTACAAAACATATGCCAAACTGTAAAATAAGGCCTTTGTGGTGAATACATCCTCCATGCACAAATTAGGCCCAGAAATCCGTCCATGCATTTTGGCAAATAGGAGCCGATTTCCGTGCAGATTTTGTAGAAAAATTAGGCTTTGACCTATTAGACCCATTTTCCTAGAGATTTACAGTGCAAAGAGCTAGTTTTTGATACATCATTCATGCAATTAAAAAACTTCACAGTATAAAACATATGGTAAATTTTTTCCACAAATGAAGCCTGATCAACCTTTCTAATAATTTTTAATCTCTTAATTAACTACTTTTACATAGTGCTTTTTAAATTAGGGGGTTAAGGGAGAAGGTCTGCATTTAAAAACGAAAAATTGATATTCGTAGATATATTTACAATGTTCTCAAGAGTATTGGAGGTCAAACGCACCTCCCACAAATGAAGTCATGCTATGGGCCTGAAATTTTAATTGTTTTGTGGTTGTTTTTAAATTATTTTCAAAATATTGTATGTTTATGTATTTTAATGTGGAACCAAATAAATTAGAAAAGGAGCAAAACCTCTAGCATTAAACACTGACTTACAAGTTTTCCATGAGGTATCCAGAGAAATTGGTTGAGCGTCGGCAGGGGTCTTCCAAGCACCATCCAAGGATGGCACTGCAACTTCTGCAACAGAGACAAAAAAAGAGTTTAAATTTATCACAACACATATTTAAATCAGAATTTTTATGTGCAATCACACATCAGCAGGGGCAAATCCAGACATGTCCAAAAGAGCCAGCCTGGCCCCCCCACCCTCTAAATCTGCCCCTGCATACCAACTCTAAATGTGAATTTTCTAACTTTCATAGATTCTAAACTCTTTAAACAATCTAATACAAAATTGATGCTTCTGGTGCTGAAACTTACACTAATCAGATAAAGGTAATAGTAGAATTAAAAGAATTGTATACATAAATTCATATTACCAGGTGATGCGGTCCAAGCATTATCCAGAGACACTGTGTGTAGAGGCTGATCATTGGTTGGTTTTGAGACTGCATGCTGATGCTGATCACTGATTGGTTCTGAGACTGCAGACTCATGCTGATCACTGATTGGTTCAGAGTTTGCATACTGAAGCTCATCTCTAAATGGTTCCGAGACTCTTTGGATAGCTCCTAATGCCTGAACTGCAGATGCTTCTGTCCCCGAATCATAATATCCTCCATCCCCCCTAGGTTCCTCTCTCCCCAGAACTTCACTAGTACCATGCACAAAGCCAGAGGAGGGGGAGTCATCAACAATGTTTCTGTCAAGGTTTGCCTGAGTGATCTGCTGAGAGATGGGTTGAAGAGAATTAGCCCTGACAGCAGGATCATCCAAAGTTGATGACATTCCTGGAATGTGGACATTCCTGTGACCTGGATGAGTTGATGACCTTTGGTGGGACATTCCATTTTCTACTGTTGAATCATGGGTAGCCCTAAAGTAGAATGAAGCAAATGCATTAAAAACAAAATGTATCAGAATAGAAAGTTAAAGTCTACATGAAAGAGAATTCCTAGATGGTTGAAAAATATAACACATTTAAATTAACTAGACAAATTTATGATAATGTAAAATACAGTAAAAAATACACATGACATTCACAGTAAATGGTAACACTTCCTAAAGTTCCTTTTTGTTGTTAGATAGTAATTAATAATCATAATCTCCATCATTCTCATTCTCAACATTGGCATTTTCATCAACAATGTTATCATATGCTAGTCAATATCAATATCATTATCAATGACGATGCACTAGATACAAAAAAAAAGCAGCTCAAGGTAAAATACAGTTACATTTCACAAAACATTTTTCATACATAATGATCTCAATATTACAGATATTATTCTCTTGATGACGATAGAAGCAACTCAAGCGAAAAGTTGAGACATTTTCAACAACACAACAGTTCTTTTCAGAACTCTATATGTGGTGCACTGCAAGCATTTAATGTAATAATGACATCATCATCATAATCAATTAAAAGCACTATACAGACAACTATCATACCTTAAAGAATACAATTCATGCTGACCCAACCTTCTATGGGCACCAGTGTTGCTGTACGTAGTTGAAGAGTTCTCAGCAACGTGTGAAGTTAATGAGACACCGCCGTGCTTTCTTCCCTGATATCTGCGAGTGAGCCCATCTTGTAATAATTCAGCACCAGCACTGTAATCTATACATAAATATTTGTTTCATAAAAATGCAGGTAAGATGCAAATCAATAATTTTTTTCAATGTACCTGTATGTTCAAATTTTATTAATTTCAATGATATTAGTAAAGATCAGCTATATACAAACATTCCTATGGGTGGATCCAGAGATGTCCGAAGGAGAAGGGGCACCCTGATCGAGAGACCACCGTAGGATATTTTTAGACAAACAGAAATAACGTCATTTTGGGCAATCAACAACATCTTTTTCTTTCTTTCTTTTCTTTAACTTTCAAGAAGGTGAGGGGTGGTGAGGGATGGGCCCCCAAAATCTGCCCATGACGAGAAAATTTATATAAACAAAAGGAAAAAGACCAATGGAGTTGAATTGTTTTGAGAAGATTAAGGATGTACGGACACCTGGGTACTAATGGGTGGCATATCTATAAAAGGGTGTGTGGGTGATTGCACTCTAACCCACTGGAAATTTCCTGATCAAAATATTATTATTAAGTAGTTAAAAATCACGTAATATAACACTAATTTACTAACTAATGCCCTGTCTCTTAACGATCAATTGCAGACTTTTTTTGGCCTGGAAATTTTCACGATGATGGTGACTACAATGATGATGTTGATGGTTTCAAGTTTACTGACTTAGTTCCTACCTGGTCTTGGATAGGATTCTGAATGACTTGTCATCATCAGGTCTGTTGCAGGTGAGAGGAAGGCACTACCTTGCACAAGACCTCTCTTGACTGGCTTTGGGGATGTCCTCAATGCAATTGGATTAGTCATCCTATGTTGGAAGTTTTTGTATGATTGCTCCAAGTTCTGAAATACCATCATATATAAGGTGTTAAGAGACAGGTGGGTTAAGAGCAACTCAAGTAGTTAAAAATCACCTATGGATTGGATTTATTCAGTGTAAATACCAAGGATAGCTCACTACAGTGTAGAAGATTTATTTCCAGTGGGTCCTTCTGGTGGTGATTGGACAGTACACAGCGAGACAATCCCCGACTCTTTTCCAAAGAGTGTGCTGTGTTCTTTAATGTACATATGGGCCATCAATGCACATAGGACCAACGGCTTAAACGTCTCATCCGAAAGACGGCACACAAGTATAACTAGTATTTCAGCCCTCCAGCTGAAACACAAGGAGAGGCAGCAATGGGAATTAAACAAGGGACCTAGAGATCTCCAAGGTTCAGCGCACACACAGTGGCTACCACCAGATTAGCCGACTTGAGCTAAGTTGCTCTCTCAATTTTCACCCCATTTTGCGAGCTAGTGCCACCTCCCCTTATTGAGCCCTCTACTTTACCTTTACACCCCATCAGGCCCCCACTTTCAAGACTCCTAGATACAGTCACTGGAAATAACATTAAAAAAAATAAAAGGTAAGCCTTGCATTGAAAGATGCATATAAAGTTAAAACCATTCTGTAAAATTTATGTTATACAGAACAAGAAAATAATTCCTACGTCACCACTTTAGAATCTTACCTCCGCTTCTCGTTCAAGGGAACGAAATCGTTCACGTGTGTTTTCTAAGAAAGCCAAAGAAGTGTCTGGTGAAGGACTTGAGTCTCGAGCTGGTGCTGATTCAAATTGAATATCATCATCAAAGAATGGTTCACGTTGATGTCCAGATACGGCTCCTCCGATTGGTAAATATCCGTCATCAAAGTCTGTAGACGATACCATTGGACGTGTTTGATGGCCAGCACTCCTATCATGAACAGGGACATCTTTACCTAGTACACTTCTGAAAAATAATTTAAATAAAAAAAAAAAAAATAAATAAATAAATAAAAATAATTAAGTGACTTGGTTTATGACAAATACTTTGTAGATAAAAAAGAGTATGAGAAAAATTGAAGAAGAAAGTTTGCTAAAGTAAATTTGACCTGCAATGACCCCTCACTATACACACAGAATCATACTTACGCAAAATGAGCAGGTTTTGATGGTTTCCTGTAAACTTCATTACTTAAAGCGGTCTGTGTCTGCTGTAGGGCTGCTCTCAATTCTGACAATTCTCTGTTCATCTCCTTCATTTGGAGTGTTTGCTCGTCTAGCTGTCGTTGCAGTTCTCGATTCCTATCAGCCTGTTATTAGCAAAGCAGTGTATGACATTTTAATAACTTCATCATATATGTCATTATCACTTTCAAAATCTTATACTTGCAGGTCAGCAAAAAAGGAAGAAATCTAAAGCCCTGTCCAGACTATCAAATTTTATTTGACAAAAACATGTAACATGCCTAAATATGGTCATGATGACATCACAACATGACCATATATAGGCACATCATGACTATATATGGGCATACAACAGCTTTTTCTCAAAGAAAATCTAATAGTCTGGACAGAGCTTTAGTAAATGAAATGCATGAATTTTAACTGTGTAAAGGTTTGTACGACTATATATATATAGGCACTTTATGACTATATATGGGCAAATGACATGCATGTCAAAGGGTTTGTATGACCATATATAGGCACTTCATGACAATATATGGGCATACATCTTTTTTCAAAGAAAATTTCATAGTGTGGACAAAGATGAAAGTTACATTTAATTATCTACCAATGCAAGTAGACTTAAGTGTCTTTACCTCATTTTGGAGTCTGGACTTGAGCTGAGTCTCCCGACTTTCCATGAGTGCTTTCTCTTGCTTCACTCTATCCCTTGCCCTGTGGACTTCTGCCTTCATGCTTACAAGCTCAGGAGAGGGTAGCGATGCTTTCGCAGACAGCAGCTGCATACGCTCATCTTGACCTACAGTGCATATATATATATACATATGCATGAAATGCATGTGACCTTAAAGGACTTACTAACTTACACACTTAATCACCATGGCAACTATATATATTCCACAAATTAATTTGTCCTTTCGCTGATTACGATGACATAATAAAATGATAGTTTGGACATAAAATGTTGTGCTCAATATCGTAATTGGATTGGTAATAACTGACATCCCTGACTGTCAATATCTTTTTTGTTTGTTTTTTATTTGTTTTGATTAATGAAATTTCACAAAAAGATCTGAAAAAAACAGACATTTGGAAAAAAATTAATATGTTTAAATTTTATATTAAGATTTAAATATAAAATTTGTTACTGATTTGAAACATAGTAGAAGAAGTGGAAATCTGACTTGGTGGTTAAGGCATTTGCCCCCAAATCCCAGTGCCTTGGGTTCAAATCCTTACAAGGTAACAGGATTTGTTACCATGACAAAAAACAAGTTTACTCTAAAAGCATTATAACAAGACTAAATAAAATAATAATTTAACGTTTTTATAGGGCAAATCACAAAAAAAAATGTTAAAAATCAAATGACTGAAAGTTATGTTTTTTATGATTAACAGATAATTAAGATCATTAATAAAAAATAACATCACAAAAATATAATTAATCCTACAATACTGACACTGAAACAAGCTGAGAGAAGTACTTACGTGCTAGTTCAGTCTTATATTCGTTGATCGTTTCTGCAAGACGCCTGATAATTAAGAATTCAAAACATATTACATTGTAAGACACTTTGTCCCTGTATTTCTTATAGTGCGAAATAAAATTAAGTCTTCTTAGCTTTTAGAATTACGATATACATTCAATATTTTCTGCTTACATTCATTTAGAAAATGCATTTCAACAGTCTCTAGATCTGCAACAGTTTTACTTCTATTACAGTGCACAGTCCGTAGAAGTTGATAATTCTTTAAATTTTTTTTTTAAGTTACTTACATTTTTGTAGTTTCTAATTCCCTGCGCATCACTGCATTGCTTTCCTTCATTTGTTGGTAGTCCACCATATCTCTAAGTTTCTCTTGCTGTATTTCGTTGCTCTTATTTGATGACAATAGGTCATTCTTGGCACATTGAAGAAGGTTCTAGAATGAATTATAATGAGATTAAAATCTGATGATTAAATTAGGACTTTAAGAGCAGGGGATGGGTGTAGTTGAATATTGGTGGATTTTACAGCCACACTTTTGACTGTATGAGGCTTGTCATACCACAACCACCATCAGTGATCAACAAATCAATTTTTTAAATTCTTATTCTCCACATTATAAGCTTCAAAATGATGAGCAATTTTCTGGAATCAGCTTAATATTGCTGAAGAGAATAAAAGTAAAATGGCTTCTCTGGAATAAAGTATACGATACTGGCACATTCTTATGCAAATTCATCAGTTTAAGTAACATATAGCGAGAGTAGACTGGTTTTGGGTTAGCATGCAACATATACACTTTTATTGTTGCCTTGAATCTCCCTGATTATTATAGACTTCTTTTGCACAATTTTATATAAAATATGATAATGATACTAATGGCATGACAGGCTGATGAATATGATGATAATAGTAATCAAGACAATAGATAGTAAGATGATAATGAAGATGTCACAAAAGAGAGAGAAAAAATGAAAATATAACCATAATTATGATGGTAATAAATATGATGATGACAATGACTATAATAATGATGATTATAATCTACATGAGGTTGATTATGATGGTAATGAATGTAATGATGACAATGACTATGATAATTATAATCTATATGAGGTTGATATTGATTTTGATGGTAAATAATGAGATAGTAATGACTATGATGATGATGATTATGATTATAATCTACATGAGGTTGATTATGATGGTAATGAATGTAATGATGACAATGGCTATGATAATTATAATCTATATGAGATTGATACTGATTTTGATGTAATAAAATGTGATAACAATGACTATGATAATGATGATTATGATTTTTATTCATCTACATGAGTTTGATGATGTTGAGTACCACACCTGCAGTTCTTCAATCCTCGTTTTCTTTTCTTTCATTTCTTGTTTTATTTCTTTGTTCATTTGACTTTCTTCTTCCAATTTCCTTGCTTCATCTACAAGGAATCATAACAATACAATATAAAAGTTTGCTATTAATGAGCATGTGTATAAAATACCTTAACTAACAGAGAAATATTTTTTCTATACCATCAATAAAAAAATGATTTAGCCATATTATAAATCACATAAGAGTAACTTTGGTATGGAGATACACCTCCACAGGGCACTTATTGCGCACGACGGTCATTGGCCTACGCGATTCTATAAAAACGCAACGCGACAACGCGCGCTCAACCGATATGCTACCGAGAATCAGCAGACGGCGTTGCATCGTCTATCGCTTACAGGCAGCGGAGTTGGATTCGTCGTGCAACGGTCATACAACGCAGTGAGTGCCCGCCATTAAATACAAATGATAAATATTTTAGAAAAATGTATGTTCCCATGGTTACCATTGTACATAGAATACTTGAAACCTAGCTAAATTATTAATTTCAATTTGTTCTGAATATGTAGATGGTAGGTGAATCCCATTGGGAATAGGAGTTTATTTTCCTTTATAGCCTGCCATCTCTATCTTGGAGTAAAACATAATAAATAAATAAATGGATAATAATATGAATAACAATTGTTGACTTATATGGAGCATATTGTAGCGACCTCTATGCACTTATGAATCAAGATATTAGATATAAAAAAGAATTTTAAGTTCTCTTTCTATCCATGAACCGCAAAACAATGTAAAAAACCTTCTTCCAAAAGAGTTTGCAAATATTACAATTCCCTAACCCATAAGGACAAAGAAAATGAAATTGTTTAGTTGTGTATGTAATACACATGTAATAGGGTATGCACCACAAACTGTATGCATAAACATTGCAGCTTAAGGTAAAGCTAGTGGATAATGATGATCATCTAATTTATTATGGAGAATCATATTGACAGTGAAGTGAAAGTAATTACTATGAGTACATTCTGGACTGCCACTTATAAGTGCCCTTGGTTAAAAATTGTTATTGCTAATGTCATCTATATAGTGCTCGAAGGGCATTGTGTAATTACTGGTAATAAAATAGCTGAAGGATCATTGAGGTTAAAAATGATGATGATGATGTTGACTAAGTAATTTTCAACACATTAACCCTTATGCTATTTTTCATACTTAAGTAAAAGTAGTATTCTAATCTATCTGCATATACACATAGTCACATGAAGAGAGCGACACTGATTCAATTCTGGAAGTCTTCGTGAACTCATGTTTTATCAGCAAATTGCTTTCAAAGCAGTCTTTTAATTTTTCGAAATAAGCGCTGTAAGCTTTGATGTGGATAGTGTGCATGGGCACATCATGACTATATATGGCCATACAACAGTTTATTTTGTCAAAGAAACATTGATAGTGTGGACAAAGATTAAGAGTGAAAAGCGAATGAGTATGTGACATGCCTAAGTATGGTCATGATGACATCATATCCCAACCATATATAGAAACATCATCACTATATATGGTAATGGTGACATCACATCATGACCATATATAGGCACATCAATACTATATATGGGCATACGACAATCTTTTTGTCAAATAGACACCATTGATCTGACATTCATAATTACTACTAAAATGGACTTGCCTCGTACACGCCTTTCCCGTCTCTCTACATCATCAAGTCTGTCTGAATATTCTTTTCTCGTCTGTAAAGCATATCTGAAATCAACAAGTCATTTTTTTTGTCACGTGTTTTTGTCAAATAGAATTTGATAGTCTAAACAATGGTTTACAAACAGTATTATAAATGATGTCCAAAAACTTGCTATTAATTTTAGATGTTAAATGTTCCTTTAAATGTTACTAACAGAATACAGTGCAGTACATACTGTGTTAACTGTTCTTTTAACCGTTGCTGATAATTTTCTTCAATGTTGTTAACAGCAATTTCCCGCAGTTTTAAATTCTCTTCTATTGCCAGTCGTTTGTCCTCTTCCAATTTTGCAGCTCTGCCCATGAATAAAAAAAAAATTAATAGTAGATGGTTTATCATACTGTATGGATAAACTAAAGTGCCAGTTGGACAAGGAGACTTTATTTACCTTTTATTGACCTCTGACTCTCTCCTGACCTCAGCTTCTTTGGACCTTAAAATCTGAAGTTCATCCAATAAATTTTGTCTTTGCGCATGCATCTCTTTCTGGGCAATCTAGAAAAAAATCAAATTATTATCATGAACAGAATTTTTAGATGCAAGTACTGACAGTCATCAGCTTACGCAATTTGATAGAAAATGCAAAGACGATCTGGAGCACACAACAATTTTATTTAAAGTGACAATTAGCGCAACAAAGAGCAGATTGGTTTGTCGTACCCATCATACGACCTTGGATGCAGTATGTGGTCAGCTAAAAATTTTTTTAAATCAAATTCAGGTCAAATATTTTCGCAAGTAAACACAGCATTTCAGAGCAAAAAATAACATATATGTGGCAAAGACAAGCCAAACCAGTCACTCGTCGCAAATCGTGTTTCAGAGAAAATGGCCAAAACATGCTGGAATGTCAAATTTTTAAAAATCTATTTTATTGCACTAAACTAACCTTTATATACTGTCTCTTATACACATCTAGACGTGTATAAGAGACCAGGGATCATTGAGGTTAAAAAT